AACGGGGGCTCTTGACAAGAAGGGGAGGCTTGAGAGTGGGGAGCCCTACGGCCAGGAGGGCAGAAAGCAGGTTAGGGGTTCAGGAAGTGGAGGCCCCATTAAAAAGGCGAGGCTTTGGGGCAAGAAGTTGAGTTGGAGGGTGACCTGGGAAAGCCCCCGGCCCCTCGTCCTAGGCGGAGCGGCGGCCAGTGACTTGGGCTGCCCTGTGCGGTAGTGAGCTCGCTGCCCCTGCGTTCAACGGGGAGCAAGCGTCGCAGAGTGTGGCAAGGAGCCGCTTGTGGTGCCCGAGGCTTCGTGGCTTCCAAGGCCTCTTATATGAATCGGGGTCTGAGCGGCAAGGAAACTCCAGCCAGGCGGGCATCATCCCGGGAGACCTCCCCCCGGCCGCCTTGTCACAGACGTGGGGACCTTGAGCGTCAGTGATAAAGGACCGGGACGCGGGGGGCGCCTGCAGACCTGCCGCCACCTCCGTCGAGGCCCGTCCAGGTCCATCCGCAAGCTGACGTCTGCTCTTTGCCTTAGGGAGCCGCAGCAGCCGCCGCCCCCGCGAGCAGTTTCCATCCGTATCTTCTGTGTACAAAGGTGACTTTGACTGCAAAGGGCCATGGGAATTGGATCTTGTATGAAAATGGGGCTAGGAAATATACGGTCTTTCAGGAAAAGGTCAAGAACCTGTTTTGCCCAGATGAGTGGCCCCTGGCTTCTGAGCCGCAGCCCCCTGCTCGCAGTGGACTGGCCCGGCGCGAGCCCGTGCACCCGCGTGCCTAGACCCTGGGGAGAGCCGGGTGGGGGACCTCCAGCAGCAGCCTCGTGTGGCTCAGTGTTATGAGACAGGTTTGTTCACTTTTTTAAAAATATATTTTCATTGATTTCATAGAGGGAGAGAGAAATAGAAACATCAGTGATGAGAGAGAATCATTGATTGGCATGCACGCCCCCTACTGGGGATCAAGCCCACAACCCAGGCGTGTGCCCTTCATCAGAATCAACACAGGACCCTTGGTCCGCAGGCTGCCGCTCTATCCATTGAGCCAAACCAGCAAAGGCAGGTTTGTTCACCTTTTACATGTTGCTCAGAGAGCAGTCAAGAAAACTAAATTGACTTGCCAACTCTGTACCTCAGGGCTGCTACCCCCTGCACACTGTGCTGCCCGTCCTTCAGATGGACAGTGATTGGCAGCTGCTGCCTGGGTTTTGCTCATGTCGGCAGTTTGAAACGCCTTGGGTTTTTAGCTGAATTTTAAGTTGCACAACTTTCGCAGTCTTGGGCGGCGTAAGAGGCAGAGGAAGCACACAGACGCTTCAGTCGCAGTTTGGTGGAGTCTGTAATTAAAACAACTGGAATGACTGATTTCTCCGTTTTGGGATTGTGTTACCACCGACCCTCCCCCCGACCCCCCGCCACACACACACACACACACACACACACACACACACACACTCACACTCAGTTTATCTTCTTGGTGTGATGTAAGGTTGGCCATGTTTACATCATGGAGTGCTCTTGCCTGGATAAGTAGCTGGAGGGAGGGAATAATCAAAGGACTGACTCACGTTGCTTCCAGGTATCCAGGGAAAGCAGCACTTTCTAGAACTTACCTAGCCTTGAACAGCCGCCCTGCTTTGCACTGACCTTCCCGGCCCGGGATGCCTGCCCTGCTCCCGTTAGCGTCCCAGCCTCTACAGCTGTGGTGTGATGGCCGAGGAGGGGCTTCTGAGAACAGCTGGAAAGTCCTCCACAGCAGGGCCTTCCCGCCGGGCACGGGCCATCTGTGTGCAGCACGGGAGGAGCCTTCCTTACCTCAGTAACGTGCGGGCAGGGGGTGGGGGGGTCTTTCTTGAACTTGGGATGCACTGAATCGCGTCCCTCTCATCTGAGCCATTGTGTCACAGCACACATCCTCCTTTTGGCACCAGCAGGGTAAGGTCCACAGTGTCCATCAAAGTCCCTGGGGTTCCTGCTGCTGCTCAGAACATCTGAGAGCTTAGAGCTGACTCATTTCTGCAACTGAGTTTGAGGAAGGAAAAACTTTGCTATGCTCACTTTTCTTGTGCCTCCAGCTGAAATGTAATCATTTCACGTATCAGCATGTGCCCACAGGCAACAGGGCAGTGAACCCTAAAGGCCTCGGTGGGTTCTGCTTTTTTTAAACGACATGTTTTTATTGATTTTCGAGAAAGAGGAAGGGAGAGGCATAGATGGAAACATCGATGAGAGAGAAACATACATCCAGTGGCTGCCTCCTGCACGTCCCCTCCTGGGGATCGCTTCAGGGAGAACAAATGTTAGGTCATCAACGGGGCCTGGTCTGTTAGTGGCCAGAAACCCTGCAAAACATTGAACCCCCGTCACGGGCACCAGGGCCCCACGCCGTTCCACCACCTGGCTGTGCTTCAGCCCGACCTGCCTCAGGGCCCCTCGGCCGTACCTCCCTTCCCACCTCAGGCCTTTACCTGGAGGCTCTTCCCTGGCCCTGTGCCTGGGCGGCTCCCTTTCATCCTTCAGGTCCTGGCTTGAGTGTCACCACGAGCCCTGCCTGAGTGTCCTGTAGTTAGAGTGTTCCCATGATCCTTTGTCATGGTGCCCTGCGCCCTGCTTCTTTCCTTCAGGACACTTTTGCGAGGCGCTCATCACCGTTCCCCTGCTGCCTCTCCCCCCATGTGAGGTCAAGGTCCTGTCTGTCTTACTCAGTGTCCTCCCCAGCTCCCAGCACAGAGCCAGGCCCATGGGAGGCTTTGGGAAGGTGCTGAATAGACGAGTGAATGAGCAGAACTGAGCTAGCTGAGGGGCTCGTTCCCGCACTGGGACACACCAGCCTCAGCGCGATGAAAGTCAGCCAACAAAAGGACAAATTAGTGTGTCGTGGACACCCAGAGTTCCTTGTGAAAAGCCAGCTCTGGGCACTTCCCAAGGAAATCAGTCCCTCAGTCACTAAAATTGCAGGATTTGAATCTGTATCTTCAAAGATGAACATATTTGATCCTAAACCGGTCAGGGCCTTTTTGTAATTCTTTTTTTAAAATATATTTTTATTGATTTCAGAGTGGAAGGAACAGGGAGAGAGAGAAACGTCAATGATGAAAGAGAATCATTGATTGGCTGTCTCCTGCACGTCCCCTCCTGGGGATCGACCCACAACCTGGGCGTGTGCCCTGACCAGGAATCAACAGGTGACCTCTTGGTGCATGGGACGACACTCAACCACTGAGCAACACCGGCCGGGCTGCTTTTTTCTATTTTTATCCTTCATTTCCTGTGTGTTCGGGGTTTTTGAAGGCCTGCGCTGGGCATTTGCCATCAACTACTGCATGTACTCCCTTCTCCTGCCGGTAGGGAGCGAGGGCCTGTGTTGAGGATGAGGTGGCATTACCAGGACTTAGTGGTCAGGGTATGAGGAGCGAGCATGCCTTCTTGCTGAGGTCTCCTTCACCCCGTCATCCTGGGAGAACAGTTCTTGATCCCCTGTGAGAGCAAGATCTTGGCTCAGTGGATAACGAACCTTACAGAAGGGTATAGGGGACAAGGCTCCAACCACCTGGACCACACCGGCCAGGGCAAGGGTTGCTGCTTATAAAAGTGATAGATAGAGCCCTAGCCGGTTTGGCTCAGTGGATAGAGCATCAGCCTGTGGACTGAAAGGTTCCGGGTTTGATTCCGGTCAAGGGCACATGCCCAGGTTGTGGGCTCAATCCCCAGTGGGAGGCGTGCAAGAGACAGCTGATCGGTGATTCTCTCATCATTGATGCTTCTATCTTTCCCTCTCCCTTCCTCTCTGAGATCAATAAAAATATATTTTTTAAAATGGCTGCCATAAATCATGACTTTCATGTCAGGTTCAGGAGCCAGGGCAGGGCTAGGGGGGTGGGGCTTTGGTCTGAGGGCGGGGCCTGGTCTGTTAGTGGCCAGAAACCCTGCAAAACATTGAACCCCCGTCACGGGCACCAGGGCCCCACGCCGTTCCACCACCTGGCTGTGCTTCAGCCCGACCTGCCTCAGGGCCCCTCGGCCGTACCTCCCTTCCCACCTCAGGCCTTTACCTGGAGGCTCTTCCCTGGCCCTGTGCCTGGGGCGGCTCCCTTCATCCTTCAGGTCCTGGCTTGAGTGTCACCACGAGCCCTGCCTGAGTGTCCTGTAGTTAGAGTGTTCCCATGATCCTTTGTCATGGTGCCCTGCGCCCTGCTTCTTTCCTTCAGGACACTTTTGCGAGGCGCTCATCACCGTTCCCCTGCTGCCTCTCCCCCCATGTGAGGTCAAGGTCCTGTCTGTCTTACTCAGTGTCCTCCCCAGCTCCCAGCACAGAGCCAGGCCCATGGGAGGCTTTGGGAAGGTGCTGAATAGACGAGTGAATGAGCAGAACTGAGCTAGCTGAGGGGCTCGTTCCCGCACTGGGACACACCAGCCTCAGCGCGATGAAAGTCAGCCAACAAAAGGACAAATTAGTGTGTCGTGGACACCCAGAGTTCCTTGTGAAAAGCCAGCTCTGGGAACTTCCTGTTGGGAAGGCCAAGTGGGCTGTGTGCCCTGTTTCTCACTCGGCTGCCACCCTCGGGTTCTCGCAAGTCCCCTGGGCCAGGGCTCCCAGCAGGGTGTCACCTGGCAGGACTGTGGTGATCCAGTCGGGTGCTGTGGAAGACGAGCCAAACTTTTCATCCTTCTGGGCTCTGTCCATGAGATCACGTTAAGATAATGATGCTTCAAACCAATGAAACTGTCAGCCTCGTGTCTGAGAGGACCTGAGCGAGGGCCACGCAGCCCCGCTGAGGACTCCTGTCCTGAGGCTGTGTGCCAGGCCCCAGGCATGAGGAATAATTGTAATTAACGGAGCTGGAGTCGGGTTGGCGTGAATTAGAGTTGAGTTTAAACCCTGAAGTCAGTGACCCTGCAATTGCACTGAGCTTGGTGGCCAGGGACTA